GTTTTTGGAAAGCAACTCCACAATAGTTCATTGACGTACTGCATCACATTGTTAGAAAAGCTAAGACGCAGGCCATGTAGTCGACATGGTATGTATATGTCATGATAAATAAATCTCTCTTTTACTCAGAAGACAGTTGAAATCCTCCATCATGGAGGTGGAGCATACACTAGATATCTGTGAGGTCAATGTCTATTACCTTCTTTTGGCTTGAAAATTAGGGCCAGAACTTGCTGCATGCTCCCAATGTACTAAATCAGGCATGGACAAACTTCAGCCCTCCAGGTGTTTTGAACTTCAACTTCCACAATTTCAAGAATGCATGCTGAAAAAAGTGAAAGATCTACAACAACAACAACAACAACAACAACAAACAACTTTATTTATGCTCTGCTTCCATCTCCCCAGAGGGGACTCGGGGCAGCTAACATGAGGCCAAGCCCAAAGATACAATGCAGCAAAATAAAATAAAATACAAAACAACAAAGAATTACCACACAATAAAATAAATAAATAAACAAGATAAAATAAACAGTGCAAAACAACATAATAACAAGTCAAACACCATGGGTGGTCCAAATGCACAAGACAAAATGAATACAAGTATTTATTTAAGCAGAGGCTTGGACGGCCATCTGTTGGAAGGGCTTGGATTGTGTCATCCTACATAGCAGAATGGGGTTGGACTGGATAGCCCTTGGGGTCCCTTTAATTCTATCATTCTGTGTCAAGAAGAGTGTGTGATATGTGTATGTTTGAATGGGGGAAGATTCCTCAGGTTGCCTTAAAGCAAGGGAATGTACTTTGTGTGTCTCGGTAAGAAAGGAAGGGGAAAAAACACTGTTGTTATTATTGTTATGTTTATTTAGAGAATCAGACCCTGTTCTGAGGAGATTAAGGAGAAAATGTGTGAACTGGGGGTGAATACCCCAGCTTGGGTTAAAGCAACGAAATGCAATGCATAGGACTCAGTACGAAGAAAAAGAAGACCCTGTTCTGAGGAGGAAAGGCCAAGGAAAGTGTGTGATGTGTATGTGTAAACTTGGCTTGGCCTAAGGTGAAAGAATGTGTGGGCCTCAGCAAGGACAAAAGGAAAAGAATTACAGGAATTGGAAGAGACCCCAAGGGCCATCCAGTCTAACTTCTTTCCACCATGCAGGAATACACCATCAAAGTACTTTCTGCTTTTGCTTAAAAACCTCCAGAGAAGCAGACTCCACTCCGTCCCCTATTCTGAAGGGAATAAGCCAAAGAGAGGCTATGATATATGTGAAGACTGAGGGAGAAATGTCTCAACTTGGACTGAAGTGAAGGAATGCAATGTGTTGTTGTTTATTCGTTCAGTTGCTTCCGATTCTTCGTGGACCTCACAGACCAACCTTTGCCAGAGCTCCCTGCTGGCCGTGGCCACTCCCAGCTCCTTCAAAGTCAAGCCGGTCACTTCAAGCTTACCATCCATCCACCTTGCCCTTGGTCGGCCCCTCTTCCTTTTCCTTCCATTCCCCCCAGCATCACTGTCTTCTCCAAGCTTTCCTGTCTTCTTATTATGTGGCCAAAGTACTTCATCTTTGCCACTAATATCCTTCTCTCCAGTAAGCAGTCAGGCTGTACTTCCTCGAGTAGGGACTAGTTTGATCTTCTTGTGGTTCAAGGCACTCTCTGAATTTCCCTCCAACACCACAGTTCAAAAGCATCTATCTTCCTTCGCTCAGCCTTCCTTATGATCCAGCTCTCACATCCATAGGTTACTACAGGGAATACCATTGCTTTAACTATGCGGATCATCGTTGCCAGTGTGATGTCTCTACTCTTCACTATTTTATCAAGATTGTTCATTGCTCTCTTCCCAAGAAGTAAGCTTCTTCTGATTTCCTGGCTGCAGTCTGCAGCTGCAGTAATCTTCGTGCCTAGAAGTACAAAGTCTGTTACTGCCTCCATATTTTCTCCCTCTATTTGCCAGTTATTAATCGGTTTGGTTGCCATAATCTTGGTTTTTTTGTTGTTTAACTGCCACCCTGCTTTTGCACATTCTTCTTTCACCTTGGTTAGAAGACCCCTCAGCTTCTCCTCGCTTTCAGCCATCAAAGTGGTATCATCTGCATATCTTAGGTTGTTAATGTTTCGTCCAGCAATTTTAACTCCAGCCGTGGATTCATCAAGCCCTGCATGTTGCATGATGAGATCTTCCTGCTTCTTGGCAGGAGGTTGGACTGGATGGTCCAATCTATGGTTCTATTTATGGTGGATCCCCTGGTGGTGCAAGTGGGTTAAACCGCTGAGCTGCTGAACTTGTTGACAAAAAGGTTGCAGGTTCAAATCTGGGGTGTTCGGAGTAGAGCAACTGCTTTGGGAGGCAGTGGTCAGGCATCCGAACAATGTGGCCAGTCCAGTGAAGTTGATGCCAGAGGGCCATCACTTCAATGCTGGTGGTCTTTGCTTCTTCCAGCACACTTACATTTGTCCGCTTGTCTTCTCAAGAGATTTGCAGGATTTTACGGAGGCTGCGCTGATGGAATCATTCCAGGAGTTGCATGTGTCATCTGTAGACAGTCCACGTCTCACAGGCGTATAGCAGAGTTGGGAGGACAATCTATATAAATAAAAATGTAATGTTCGTTTGTGGGATTAACAGAATTAACAGAATTCAAGAACCACTGAACGAATTGACACCAAATTTGGACACAAGACACCTAACAACCCAATGTATGTCCTTCACTCTAAAAAATTGATTTTGTCAATTTTGTCAATTGGGAGTTGTAGTTGCTGGGATTTATAGTTCACCTACAATCAAAGACCATTTTGAACCCCACCAACGATGCAATTGAACCAAACTTGGCACACAGTTCTCCCATGACCAACAGAAAATACAGGAAGGGTTTGGTGGGCAGTGTCCTTTGGTTTTGGAGTTGTAGTTAACCTACATCCAAAGAGCACTGTGGACTCAAACAATGATGGATCTGGACCAAACTTGGCACAAGCACTCAATACGCCCCAATATGAACACAGATGGAGTTTGGGGAAAATAGGCCTTGACATTTGGGAGTTGTAGTTGCTGCAATTTATAGTTCACTTACAATCAAAGAGCATTCTGAACCCCACGAACGACAGAATCGGGGCAAACTTCCCATGACCAACAGAAAATCCATCCAATCCAACTCCCTTCACCAGGCCAAGAAAACATAATCAAAGTCCTCCTGACAAAAAGCCATCCAGTCATAGAGATAGATAGATAGATAGATATGATTCACACACAGAGATATAGTGTCATAGATTTGAAAGGAACCATTAAGGAAGGACAATGATATCTTGCATGTTCCAGGGTGGGCAAACCAGTCACTCTCCACATCAACACTGACAAAGAAACAGCAAGAAATACTGTTTACCCACAAGCATAAAGAAATTACATATATTAGAAACCAACACTTTCTCATTACTTTATTTTCCAGATCAACAGACTGGGCCACAGCAACGACTGGCAGGGGACAGCTTGTTGTTCACTCGTTCAGTCGTCTTCAACTCTTCGTGACCTCATGGACCAGCCCACGCCAGAGCTCCCTGTCGGCCGTCACCACCCCAGCTCCTTCAAGGTCAGTCCAGTCACTTCAAGGATGCCATCCATCCATCTTGCCCTTGGTCGGCCCCTCTTCCTTTTGCCTTCCACTTTCCCCAGCATAATTGTCTTCTCTAGGCTTTCCTGTCTCCTCATGATGTGGCCAAAGTACTTCAACTTTGTCTCTAGTATCTTTCCCTCCAGTGAGCTTTATTTCCTGGAGGATGGACTGGTTGGATCTTCTCGCAGTCCAAGGCACTCTCAGAACTTTCCTCCAACACCACAGCTCAAAAGCATCGATCTTCCTTCGCTCAGCCTTCCCTAAGGTCCAGCTCTCACATCCGTAGGTTACTACAGGGAACCATGGCTGTGACTAGGCGGATCTTTGTTGCCAGTCTGATGTCTCTACTCTTTAGTATTTTATCGAGACTGGACATTGCTTTCCTCCCAAGAAGTAAGCGTCTTCTGATTTCCTGGCCACAGTCTGCGTCTGCAGTGATCTTTGTGCCTAGAAATACAAAATCTGTCACGGCCTCCACATTTTCTCCCTCTATTTTCCAGTTGTCAATCATTCTTGTTGCCATAATCTTGGTTTTTTTTTATGTTTAGCTGCAACCCAGCTTTTGCGCTTTCTTCTTTCACCTTGATTAGAAGGCTCCTCAGCTCCTCCTCACTTTCGGCCATCAGAGTGGTGTCATCTGCATATCTGAGGTTGTTAATGTTTCTTCCAGCAATTTTCACCCCAGCTTTGCATTCATCCAGCCCCGCACATCGCATGATGTGTTCTGCATACAAGTTAAAAAGGTTGGGTGAGAGTAGGGGACAGCTAGTAGCTTTATAAACAAGCACCTTGGTATCTCTAGGGATGTCCTGGTCCTTAAACACTCTCTGCTTCATTTGGAAAAAAGCTGCACTCGCAGAGCTCAGGCGGTGTTGTATTTCAGTGTCAATGCTGACTTTGGTGGAGAGGTGGCTGCTAAGGTTTTAATGTTACACCATTACGCTGTATTTCTGGCATTGGAGAGGGATTGGCTGGTGCCTGCTGGAAGACCACTTTGAGATCTAGTGGCAGATCAAGAGACACTGGCCTGAAAAGTTTCAACCCCCTCCAGGATTTTTGGGCCTGGGTGTGATATATGTGTGTGTTTAAACAGAAAAGGAGGGGGAAATGCTTCAGCTTGGCCTGAGAAGCGGGAATGCAACGCGTGAGGCAGAGAAAGCGGCCTGGCTGGAGGGGAAGGGCTGTTGCTAGCCTTTTCGGAGGGCAGGCCGGGGAGCTTAGCCATTCGGGGCGAGTGGGCGGGGCTTCGGCCCTGGAGGCGGGTTGGCGGCGCCGAGGCCAAGGGGGCGGGGCGAGAGGAGGAGGAGGGAGGGAGGAAGGAGGCCCGCCCGTCTGGCAGGCGCGAGCCAGAAAGGAGCTGCTTCTCCTGCTGAGCTGCCTCCACAGAGCCGCGGTGCCGAGGAAGGAAGGAACAGGAGGGCGCCCCGTCCCCTCGCCTGGGAAGGAAGGGAAGCAAGCAAGCAGGCCTCGGCCGGAGGTGAGCGGAGGCTGCGCGGGGAGACCTCGGAGGGAGAAGAAAGGGGCGTGAGGGCAGGCAGAGCGTGCTTTCCCCCTTTGCCCTCTCTCTACGAGGAAAGAACCAGGCTGCCCCTCTTCCCCTTCCTTCCTTCTTTCTTTCTGACTGTAGGGAGGAGGAGGAGGAAGTTCCCTCGCGTGGAGGCCGCTTTGCAGCCTCCATCCACCCTCCTCCCTTTCTTATTTAAACCTGGGCTTTCTCTCGAGTCTTGCTTCAATCATGGTTGCTCTTGTGGCCGTGGGTTTTGCAGAGAAGGCGCCTCTTCCCTTGCAAGAACTGCAGAGGTTGCAGCAGAAGAAGAAAAGGGTTGTCTGCAGGGAAATTGGTTGATTTCCCCTTCCTTCCACTTCCTCTCCCTCTCTCCTTCTCCTTTTCTTGGGGCCCTTCCACACACAGCTGAATAAAATCCCACATTATCTGCTTTGAATTGGGATATATTGCAGTGTGGACTCATGGCCCTTCTACACAGCCCTATATCCCGGAATATCAAGGCAGAAAATCCCACATTATCCGCTTTGAACTGGGATATATAGCACTGTGGACTCATGGCCCTTCTACACAGCCCTATATCCCAGAATATCAAGGCAGAAAACCCCACATTATCTTCTTTGAACTGGGATATATAGCAGTGTGGACTCATGGCCCTTCTACACAGCCCTATATCCCAGAATATCAAGGCAGAAAACCCCACAATATCTGCTTTGAACTGGGATATATAGCACTGTGGACTCATGGCCCTTCTACACAGCCCTATATCCCAGAATATCAAGGCAGAAAATCCTCCAATGTCTGCTTTGAACTGGATTATTTGAGGGCTCTTCCACACAGCCCTATATTCCAGAATATCAGGGCAGAAAAATCCTACAACATCTGCTTTGAACTGAGATATATGGCAATGTGGACTCAGATAACCTAGGGCCCTTCCACACGGCCCTCAATTCCAGAATATCAAGGCACAAAATCCCACAATATCTGCTTTGAACTGGGTTATCTGAGTTCACACTGCCATATATTCCAGATCAAATCAGAAAATTTGAGATTTTATTCAGCTGTGTGGAAGCAGATATTGTGGGATTATCAGAGTGTGGACTTGATATTCTGGGATATAGGGCAGTGTGGAAGGGCCTTGAGTCCACACTCAAATAATGTGGGGTTTTCTGCCTTGGTATTCTGGGAAAAAGGGCTGTGTGGAAGGGCCCTTGGTCATCCCTTTCTGAAAGGCGATCCTAAAGAGGGGGAGTGTTCAATCTGTAGCGGGTAGATGACCAAACGCGCTTGCCTCCTTCTACATTGTGGAATTGATTCCGTTCTGCACCACTTTAATTTCCAAGGCCCCCTGCTATGTGAACAAGCCTTAAGGCCCTTCCACGTAGCCCTATATCCCAGGATATCAAGGCAGAAAATCCTACATTATTGGAGTGTGGACTCAGATCACCCAGTTCAAAGCAGATATTGTGGGGTTTTCTGCCCTAATTTTCTGTGATTTAGGGCTGTGCAGAAGGGCCTTGAGTCCACACTCAGATAATGTGGAATTTTCTACCTTGGTATTCTGGGATATAGGACTGTGCGGAAGGGCCTTGAGTCCACATTCAAATAATGTGAGATTTTCTGCCTTGATATTCTGGGATATAGGGTGTGTGAAAGGCACCTTGGTCTTCACTTTCTGAAAGGCCATCCTAAAGAGGGGGAGTGTTCAATCTGCAGTGGGTAGGCGACTGAGGGTGCTTGCTTCTTTCTACATTGTGGAATTGATTCAGTTCTGCACCACTTCAACTGTCAAGGCTCCGTGCTATGCAAACAACCCTTAGGGCCCTTCCACACAGCCCTATATCCCAGGATAGCAAGGCAGAAAATTCCACATTATCGGAGTGTGGACTCAGATCACCCAGTTCAATGCAGATATTGTGGGATTTTCTGCCTTGATATTCCGGGATATAGGACTGTGTGGAAGGGCCCAAAGAGAGGGTGTAATCTGTGTGTGAACTAAAGATGCATCTTCACCAGGCATTGGCAAACTTTGGCCCTCCCTCCAGGTGTTTTGGACTCCAACCCCCACAATTCCTAACAGGCTGTTAGGAATTGTGGGAGTTTAAGTCCAAAACATCTAGAGGGAAGGCCAAAGTTTGCCCATGCCTGATCTACTTTTTAGAATTCATGCAATTTGACACCGCTTCATCTGCTATGGCTCAATGCTATAGAATCCTGAGAGCTGTAGTTTGAGAAGGTCTTTCATTTCAAATAGTGATGACGCCACACCAAACTACAAATCCCATGATTCCATATCATTGAGCCATGGCAGGCAAGGTGTCAAACTGCATTACTTCTACAGTGGAGGTGCACTCTGAGGACCCTTTCACACAACCCTATATCCCAGAATATCAAGGCCGAAAATCCCACAATGTCTGCTTTAAACCGGGTTATCTGAATCCACACTCAGATAATGTAGAATTTTCTGCCTTGATATTCTGGGCTGCGTGGAAGGGCCCTGAGTGATTTGTATGCTTTGCAGGAAAAAAAAAAACAGTTGTCCCTCCATATATACGGATTCTGTTTCCACGGATTCAACTATCCATAAACTATTCTCCCCTCTTTTCCAAAAAGTCTCCCCTCTTTTCCAAAAAGCAAACTTTGATTCTGATATTTTGTGTAAGGGTGAGCATATTATGACACTGTTGTATGCAATGGGACTTGGGCATCCACAGAGTTTGGTATGCAGAAAGAGCCCTGGAGCCAGCCCTCCAGTGGATACCAAGGGCACACTGTTCTGTATTTCAGTGTGAAAATACATGTCCCATCTGTCTCCTTCCCCTTTTCCCCACAGTGATTTTTGTGAACTTTACAGAGTGTCTGGGCCAGGGGTGGTGAGGAAGTCCACTGTGAAGTTATGGGTTTGTTTGTTTGTTTATAAGAGGGAATTTTGAATGGCACTTCAGGGTCTAGACGGTGTGCAATGGCATGGCTGGAGCAAGTGGTAGACTAGTGCATGCTAACCAAACCTTGCTAAATATTGGCACTAAAATCCCATTCCCTGGATTAGTGAATAATCCACAGACTGTAATTTAGAAAAGTGCCCCACATCCTTTTCCTGAGAGGAAGTTTAATCATGTATCCAGTTGAATTTTCCTTGTAAATTAGTATAGTATTTAACTGGGAAATTTAGTCTGACTACAGAAGTTACCTTCATATTTTAAAAAAAACCTGATTTTGGTTTCTCTCTTTTCAAATATGGATGTACCAGCCTTTTTAAGTACATGTGGTAGAGAACTCATCTGATACGGTGAGCTATATAGTTGAATTTATGACACTGATATTTTATGAAGTTTGTGTAGTCTTATATTTTTAGCGAAGACATATAGTGATCCGTTAAAAGAGTTTCTTGTGTTACTGGAAGTACTGGTTTGTGTTGGTGCAAATTGATGGCATTTTTAGAAGAATAATTCCATAAAGTACATTATTTTGACTTCCTTGGAGATTGGAAAGGTCTGGTTTTCAGAGGAAAAAATGGGTGGTTGAAAAATTTTGATTCATGGGCAGGAAAAATTGGTTTTCTCTTGCTAGTTCCTTGCATTCAAGTTTTGGAGTCATTGTGAGTGCAGAGTGATCTAAGAACTGTGAGGCACAGGATGGGGATACAGATTCTGACCCAGAGATTTTTGGAAAGCAAGCAGTTTCAGTCACAGTGATTTTGGCCGTTAGGTGACCCTATGAGTGCACTCCAGCAGTGCATTCTGCAAGGGCCATTTGGAATAGTGCAATCTAAGTTTGCAAAACCAGAATTTGAACATGTGGGTGCTTTTATTGTTTGTCCATTCTATATAGCCATGGATTCATTTTTAAATTGTATTTCTGATCACTTCCTGCATAACTTACTTAAATTAGTCTGGTTTCTATATGGACATCTTTGAAGCAGTTAAGCTCCAGATATACCCTGTCAAGCACGTAATCTCAGAGGCTTAAACTCTTTGCTTCTAAGACATTATCTTTAGCATGGCGCAATAAAATCATCTTGTGACTTAAAAAAAGAACATTGAATTACTCATCAGAATGAATTCCATGTAATAAATGTACTACTGGTAAGAGTAATTGTATCTTACTTTATTAGAGTAACATGACCCCTTACCATGTGGACCTAGAAGGGAATCTGCTGATTTGAAATGATTTTATTCACAAATAGCTTTTACTATTCAGATATTAGTTGTTTTCTTATTTGTTTTCAATGTGTGTATATGTTGTATTTGTTTGATAACTTTCCCCATTACACCTTTTACCTAGGCAGAGTAGATTCAGGAAATGTGTGAGAACTTTTAGATGGTTTCATATTATTTGAGCAAAATGTACTATGTCTAAAATTTTGATATTGTGGGGTCATTTTGCCAGAACTTCATAGTTATCCATGCATATAATTGCATTTATAATAAATATCTCAGTTCATTCCCTGATACCTTTGGCAAGAAAGCTAAGAACAAGTCTTAGTTGAGTCTTGGAAAAACTAGTCACAATAGACTGTAATGTGCTATTCCGAAGGTAAAGCAGCCTTCCTCCAAATTGGTGGCCTCCAAAAGTATTTCATTGTATTCCTCATCATTCCTATTCAAAATTGTCCATGACTGGAGATTTAATACTACTGGAGTGCATCCAGTGGAGGGAGATCAGGCTAAAGAGATCAGTTGACCAGCCCTTATATAGCTTGGCCAGATCCATCTTGGAAATCCGGTTATTGGTTTATGTTGAATGTGGTCTGATAGGAGTTCCAATTGCACTCTGCTCTATTTTGTCATGTTTAGTGTGTTTTTATTTCGGTTGTTGGTGGATGAATTATCCTTGAAGTGACTGGCTTGATCTTGAAGGAGCTGGGGGTGGCCACGGCCGACTGGGTGCTTTGGTGTTGGCTGGTCCAGGAGGTCGCGAAGAGTTGGAAGCGACTGAACAAATAAACAACAAAACATTTTATGATGCTCCCA